CGCGCCCCGCCCTGCCGCGAGCTCCAGACGGGCCCAGAGCGGATCTGGGGTCAGGCCCTGCGCTGCAGCCTCGGACTGGGTTGGGCTGGCCCTGGGGGCTTGCGAAGGAAGACAGCAGCGCGGGAGGGGAAGACAGCTTCGCAGAACAGGGAAGGCAGCGGGGAGGGGGAGGAAAAGGGGACGGATTTGCTGTAATCCTGGAGGCCCCGCCCTGCCGCGAGCTCCAGACGGGCCCAGAGCGGATCTGGGGTCAGGCCCTGCGCTGCAGCCTCGGACTGGGTTGGGCTGGCCCTGGGGGCTTGCGAAGGAAGACAGCAGCGCGGGAGGGGAAGACAGCTTCGCAGAACAGGGAAGGCAGCGGGGAGGGGGAGGAAAAGGGGACGGATTTGCTGTAATCCTGGAGATTAGCTGTAGCGGAGGCTGGAAACCCGGAGACCTAGGGTTCCTTCGTGGTCCTCCCGTCTCTTCCTCAAAGGTAACTGGACATGCACGTTTGCGCACACGGAAGAAAGTGTGTGTTCTGCCCCTTTTCTTCTTTTAATTCTCTTTGATTTTCGTTTTTCAGCTCTTACACCAGCTTGCTTCTCTGGCCAGACAAAATGCTCTTAAGATCACCATGGACCTGAACTACAGCGATGTAAACGCAGTCTCTGAGACAGGACCGCCGCAGAGTTAAAGGGGGTGGGTGGTTCTAGATCAAAAGTTTAATTTCTTGGCAACACAAGCCTAAGGGTTTATTTGTTAGGAAGCTTTTTTGACTAAAACCTTGAGTCATGTTCAGTGGATTCTTGTGAGCAGATTATTACACGGATATCCATCATGCACGGAGTGTCCTGGGCCTCAACCTGGCAGCCTGACCATCCCAGGCCGGAAGCTGCTGAGGAGTGGCAGCCTCCACCCTGCAGTAAGAGAGAGCCCTGCCGGCCCAGGAAGCTGAGCTGCGTCAGCCTCAGCCACAGGGTTGCCTGCAGTTGTTGCTTCCTGCCTCGCTTGCACTGTATTCCTGTTCTTGGCAATGGCTCCAC